ACGAAACTTCTGAGTAGCCAACCACATTGCAGACCCTATCGATGTGACCACATGGAGACCTGCTGACGCACATTAACTCCTCATTAGCAGTTGTGGGATTGAAACACGGCCCTTATTCTCTTCTCTATCAAACACATTGGCGTTTAGCTCAATAAAAACAATGAGCAAGCAGGTAAGGGATACACCAAATGTGACCGCACACACACAGGTGCAGATGCAGGATTAGCAGAACGATTTTATCGCTTTAGCTCACAACTATGGCACTTTACAGACAGACTATCAAAAGCAAAACAAATAGGCAAATTCTAAATGGCACGTTTATTCGCACTACTCATGCCGTACGCAATCAAGCAGGTCGAGGGCTCTCTTAAGAAGGATAATAAATTTGTTTTTGCATTCTACCCAATACATGCATCTTTCGTTTAAAGTCGGCAACAGACTTTTCTCGAGCATTTCCACAGAAATAACCTTTGACTTGGTGTGGATCGTCGCCATAACCATTGCTGGAATTTGCGTGAGCTGGGCGAATGTGCGACAGGTATTTCCTGTCTGCTATGTGGGCAGTAGGTTTCTCATGCTCTCTTCCATAGCGTTCTTCATTGGTGTCTACCCTCTCAGCAGCAATCCTAAACTAGGTAAATGTTCCAACAATCACTACCACTTTCGTGCGTCAAGTGTGTTTACCTGCAGTTGTGACTTGACTGCAGTTTCTAATAAGGATGCGTATACGATGTAAAACAATGAGTAGTACGAGAAATGCTCACATTCAATACCAATGCATGTCACAATGCAAAACATTTCCTATTGTCGAAGCATAAAGCATCAATAATTTTATGTATTTTTAGTTTGTTTTGCCGGGGAAAAACAAAACATTGATCGTTTCATTTACACAACTACAAGAAGGCAATAAATCATCGAAATCTTTCGATGCATGGGCATAGTATTGGAAAGTGGGTAGGAAAGCTTTTCGAAAATAGGCGAATCGGAGAGGTAAATGTGACGTCTCTGAGTCCACTTTTTAGGTACAATTAATGGGATACATGAGGCGAATGTGGTAAAAGATGATCTGTACTCTGGCGAAATCAACCGGCTGTCATTTCACAATTGGCACACTTGAATGCTGGCGATCAGGAAGTTCTTGAGTAAGCACTGAATGATGTTTAAAAGAAGTGGTACGATTCATATTAGACTTTTCTGTAGTTAGACTTTAACCTGAGTTGCATCGTGCACAAGCCTAGCAGCGTTGTGCAGATAACGGGAGCATGGAAAATTAGATAGCATTTAAACAGTATTAGCGGTGGTATTGTTGGAAATGCTGCAGTGTCCTAATGTGATAGTGGTAAGCATAGCAGAAATTATGCACGAACAATGATAATACAATGATCTATTTATTGAATATTAAAAGAGATGGACTAGCACCACTATCTATGGATTAGGCGACTTGGCAGATCTGTTGCTCTGCGGCGTTAGGTGAGGAAAGCATTGGAGTTTTGTGGCATCCATGCTGTAAATAACTCTTCCCTACGCCTTTGCCACGGCCTGCAGCAATGTTTTCATCGTGCTGGCACCACACGAAGAATTGCTACCGCCTGTAAGCAGATGCACATCCCCATGTATTAGATATTCGATCGCAAGCCATGTGTTAGGCTCACTGAGACCCGGTGAGAGCATCCTGTTTGAAATTACGCTTGCATGTACGTTGATAACCAATCGATTGGAGGTCAGTTTAGATATGCAGGCTAACTCGATTTCACAGATGACTCTTTAGAAATTGATAGGTGGACATCTGGCATGAAGGTCTGCATTAAGCAGTCCTATTTTGATACTGTCAACAGGCAGAGACAAGTTGATGAGAATATAGCTTCGTTTTGAGTGCTCTTCCTGACATTGACCTGTAGACCAAACACCTCGACTCATAATGCCCACAAGAGCAAATTTGCACAAATGCTCCCCACACAAATTGTAGAATTAATTCTCAAAACACGACGAGGTCCCCATACGTGCTCAGATTAGCAATGCTTACATCATCATATAACTTATCTCCAAAACAGTGTTTTCATCTGTACGTTCGTAGTGCCCAATGCAACCATAGACCTCACAGCTGTTATAACAGTGGTGGTTGTGTTCCACTCGTTTGCCATATATGCGTCCATCAAGAGTAATGCGCCGGAGTAAATCTATTAAACTTAATACCAAAATGTGGCGAACTAACAAGATTCATAGGACCGATTGAACAAGTTATGATTGCATTAGACAAGTCGCTATGAATGCAGCCAAACACAGATCACAGAGACAACAAAACGGATGGATGGTTGATGAGGTGACTGAATAGGTTTCCAAATGTATACTCACTTTTATGCATTAACAGTCGGCTCTGATACCGAACCCTTGAGGCCAATTTTGTCAAGGCCTTGGGGGAAGCACGCTAATGACTATTAACTAAGGCAAACGATCCGTTAAGGCAGACCAATTTCCACCACCAATCTACTCATTTTCGCTTTGATCATGAGCCCAAATACAGTTCAGCGCAAGTTGGTGCGCTTTCTTGCCATTTTCGAGTGAATTGGAAACTGCACACATAAAAGCGACCTGAATTTATTACGAGTTCATTTATCACCTTAGTCGGACAGCTCTTCTGACCTAACAACTCAAACTTTGGTGATCGTAGCAGAGGCATTATTTGGCAGAGGTGGTCTGTTGGTGTTCTTTATGATGTGCGCCTTCATTATCGTAAATATCTGCGTGTTTCAACTCTTCGCCATCAGTTCTATCCTCACGTTTGACATCTATGCCATTGATATGAGAGTAGGCTTCTAAAACACCATTACTGAATGTTTTTAAACCTATCAGAATTAGAAGTGAACTATGCGAAAAGCATTGCACGAATTGACGGCGGTTTGCAGCACTTCCTCAGAGGGAAGCATGCTAGCTAGCAATGATTAGTGGATGTTCCAGGACTTGGATCTAAAAGCAAATTGTCTTTCGTGATGTTGCCTTTTCGAGTGTGCACGGACGCCAATTGATGTTTATAGTGGAGAAAGACACGAGAACCTCTCTTCCGGTTAAAAGACAATTGTGAGTGTGCCCCTGTAGCATGTTGTGGACAATGCCAGGTGAACAACGTTTGATGTGCATTTTGCTTCTCCTCGATTAAAGTTCAAGCGTCCATACATGCATTTTTGCTGTTTTCCCTGACAGATTTCCCTCACTAAACAAACTGAAGCGAATGCAGGATGCACATCACATGGCTTTATTTACGTGTTAGCGTCTTTTGCAGCATAATTTGAATTTGGGTGCTTGCTGTCTTCTTTGGACGTGATGATGTGGACTTTTATCACCTAAACCATTCTACTGAAGAAACAGTTGTGCTGCCAAGGGTCCGGTTTTGCCATCGTGCAAATGCGGAATTCACGCCGAATACATAAACTACGAGAAGCGGTTGGCGAATGTGCGCCGCTCATCCACCTTAGTGAGCCTCGCTGTTGTTCTTCCGATTGGTTCGCTTTTCAACCTGCTTAATGTGAGGCAGAATACCATGAGCCGTGACATTAGTGCTTAAGAATCGAACTACTAAAAGAAATATCTAGATTTCAATCTGGATGCCTGGGTTTAAAATTCATGCTTCGCTGCATTATTTTAGTTGCACTGTGAATTCATACCAGACTTTAAACTTGTGCAATTCATAAGGACTTAT